CACCCATCAGTTGCCTCTACCTCTTGCACCTGCTCATGTTGCTCTTTTGGAACAATCTTGGCTGCTGCCTTTGTGGCTTCTTGTGATATTACTGAAACTGCAAAAGCAGCGACCATGCAAACACTACTTCTATTCCAATAAACTGCTGCTGTCTCTATTGTCCCCATTCCCTACGACAATTCCCACGTCTGGATGCCTCCATGTCTATTCCTGCAGCTGTCGTGTTGCTCTCGCCCGACATTCTCCTAACCCTATCCTTCCGTTGGTCCGTTGACAACCGCTATTCAGTCTCGATGCCTTCCTCTGCCTCTAGATGCAATGGCTATACCTGGAGATAAGGAGGCAGCAGGGACAGCTGCAATCGCTTGCGGGCCTCCCTCTTGTCGCCGCACTGTGGGCAAAAATACTTCGCATCGCCTCGTAGTTGTTCTGTTCGTTGAAACTGACGAGCCAGGTCTTCACCAAGTCGCCAGCTGCTGCGTTCAGCTTGTGCTGTTGCTGCACTGGCTGCTGGTGCTGATGCTGGCGCGGCACCAGATGCCGCTGCCCCTGCTGGAGGTGGCAGGGCAGACAATAAACCCATGGGAGCGCCAGTTATATTACACATGTCACCGACTACTCCTCCCGCTGCCTGAAGCAACAGTAACTGCTGGTGTTGCTGTGGAGTAGTCGTACCCTTCGCTGCTCCATTTCTTTCCCTTTTGGCTCCTGCGCGTCGGTCAGCAAGCCCCTGCTGCTGTAGCTGTTGCTGCAGTTGCCTCATGTGCACTTGCTGCTGGATATCGGGTGCATCGCTGCCTCCACTAACGGCAGTGGCGACGCCTGCAGCGGCACCTGCAGCTACGGTAACTGTCGACGGTGAAGTCTGCTGTTGCACCCTGTCCTCCTTTAAACTTTTTTTCTCGTTTTTGTGGCTGCAGCTGAGCTGATAGAAAGTCTCCTCCCGCAGCCCAGTGTATCCGCAACTGCGGCAGCATACTGCCTGGAGGTGAGCACCTCTGAAAAGAGAAGGCAAAAAGTTCCAGGGGCTGCTCAGGCCCCCCAACTCAACCTCTAGCATCTCTAACAAACGATGCTGCAGCTCGTTTGCATCCTCCTGCGACGAAAGCAGCACAAAGTACCATGTCGCGGTGTGATAATTGCAACGGCAGCATCTGAAACATCCCGAAAACAGTTGCTGCTGCAAATGGCCTGCAACAGCAAACCCAGCATCAGCAGACGAAACATGTAAGCGGCACCACCAAAGACAGTAGCGCCAAGAACTGGCATACGCGCTCAACCTTAAAGGATGAAGCCAAAAACAGCAACACCAGCGGCAGCCTACCTGACAGGAGACGTCCTCTGCAAGCAGCTCTGCTAGAGAGTCAGGCCTGAGAGCAGCCTGTACACCGCATTGCAGCAATGCGAATATTCGTTGCAGCTCCGAGACGAGGGCATACCTGCTGCTGCACAGCCACTTGCATGCAGCAGCAGCAGTAGCCTCGTCTAAGGCCCAAGGTGGAGCGTCAGTTACAGCACCTGCAGGGTGTGGGCTCGCTGTCTTGTTGCTGCTACTACCGCTGCAGCTCTGACTTCCCATTGTTACTTGCCCATCTTGATCACGAGGTGACGATTCACCTGAGAGGTTCGTGCCTGAAATTGCTGCTTCCGTGGTTACGGCAGCTGCAGATGATGCTGCCCCTGTTGCTATTGCTGGTGCTGCTAATGGGGTCTTGAAAAAGAGGTTTCTGACTTCCTTGGTTTCCCCAGGAATGGATGAGACACTCTCGTCTATGCTGGCCACCTGCTGCTGCTGCTGCGCCTGCTGCTGGTTTAGTGCCACTGCTTCGTTTGTCTGGTGCACGACACTGTGTTGCTGGTACCGCAACTGTCGCTGTTGCTGCTCCTGGTGCTGCTCTTTCTGCTGCTGTTCAGCATCCTCGTCCACACAGATGACACCTTCGGCATGCACAATGCCTTTCTCTCGCTGCTGCTGCTCTGCATATCGCAGCTGCTGCAGAGTGGGTAGCAGCAGCAGAGCCTGCCTGAAGTGCACATTCATGTACAAAGCTTGTAGAAATACATTCATGTAGCATGTGGCACCCAAGTTCTCTAGTCCTACATAGCGTCCAGTCCGCAATAGGCAGCTCTGTAGGCAGTCGTCTTGTTGCTGCTGTGGCGGCGATGGTAAAAAGCCAGCCCTGTTGTTGTTGCTGCTGCTGCTGCTATCTTGGAGCTGTTGTTGCTGCTGCTGTTGCCTGCAACAGGCTGAGAACCAGCGCACGTTGTTTGCAAGCTGGCTGTCTGTTTGCTGGGTCTCCTTGAGTTTACGCGTGTCTTTACTGCTATTGCTGGTCTTGCTGCTACTGCTGGCACCCTTGCCCCAAAGGCCGCTCTTGAACTCCCCCATTCCGTAGACAGATAGCGGATGGCTCTCTACGTGGACGTCTCTGGGCACAGTGAATCCGACACGTAAATTGTAAGCAAACAATACGTCGCTAAACCAACAGTGTTGCTGCTGGTGCTGCTGGCGTTGCTGTTGCTGCTGCTGGTGCTGCTGCTCTGAGGGACGCCACTGACGGCGACCAGGGCGGTTTGTTGGGGTTACTGTCGGTGGTGCAGGTACTCTTCCTGCAGGCGATGCTGCACTTGGCCGCTCCAGACTCTGCATGCAATTAACTGCAAAAGCTATATCGCCCCCCATAGTTACTGCTGCTGTCTGTGGTGCTGCTGGCGCTCCTATCGCTGCAGGAGTATCCACTGATCCAGTCACTCTAAAAGCCACCTCTGACGCATTATCGACGACTTTCCCGTCAATTTTTACCTCCCCACCAGGATCCGGCAACCCTCCAGGTGGTGCTACTACTGGGTCCACTGTTTCCTTCGCAACAAACGCACCGCGTACTGCTGCACCAATATATGGACGCTCGCCTTCTTCTGGGCATCTACAGAAGGGGTTAAATTCGGGTTTTGGGCAAGTACCGGTGGCTGTTGCTGTTGCTGCTGTTGTTTCTGCCCTTGCTGCCATCTTCCCCGCTCCTGCTGCTTCACTGTGCTGATCTTGAGAATTTCGTCTGACTGGTAGGTTGCTTTCTGGGATAGCTACAGCAGGCGAAGCTGCTGCTGCTGGTGCTACTGAAAACTGTGGTGATGTTTTCATTTTGTAAGCTGCTCTAGCCGTACCCTGTGCTTTTTGATGCTGATGAATGCGCTTTTATCAACTATTTCTGGTGCAGCACGTGCAGCAGAAGCAGCAGACGTAGGAGCGGCACGAAGCCTCATCAATACTTCACTTCGCGACAGTCTTGTGCCTGTCCTTCGTTATGTCAACCTCCTGCGTCGGTGAAAGCGCCCACTTCCGTTTACGCTGATACTTTTGGTCTGCGTGATACTCCTATAGTTTGGAGCATCTATAGACTGGAGCGTCTCTGCTTTCTTCCCGCTGCTGCTGCTGTTGACCTTGGGAATCTCGAGAGGAGCAGCTGCTCATGGAGATGCTGTGATAGTCGCTGATTCCTGCTGAGGCGCGTAAGTTAAGCCATTGTTGACCGATTTTGCCATGCTGAACATGCAGCTGTTGATGTTACTACTGTTGCCGTTACTGCTGTTGCCGCTGCTGTGTTGTACGTTCGGCTTGGGCATCGGCGTCATGCTGTCAACTAGCTCTGGACCCCAGCAGCCGCTTTCACTGGTGTGTCTCCATCCCAGCTACACTCGCGTGCACGATCACTGCTGACGCTGACATCACCTCTGCTGTTGTTGCTAGTATTTTCGTCGTTCCTGCTGTTGTCGTAGGGCAGTAATCACATGCATGAGCAGGCGCAGAGCGTCACTTGCTGGCCTGTGTCTCTCGCACCACTACCTGCCAAGCCGTCCAATCCTTCCCCAGAGCTGCAGCAACCGCAGCATTGGCTGTGTGCATATACTCTTGATGAGCTCCACCCCCTTGACAGCTGATAACCCTGCAGCAACAGCAGCAGCAGCTGCTGCTGTTACAGCTCGCTGCAGCAGCACCACCCGCTCCCAGACCCGTAGTTCAGCTCAGAAGATGGTATTATTAAAAAAATACTGCTGCTGCTATTGTGGAACAGCAGCAGCAGCAGCAGCTGCAGCCACAGTATCGAGGGCCTCTTCCTGCATGTATCGCTTATGTCTGGCTTGTTCGATAGCAGCAGTAGCAGCTGATTGGCGACTTTTAACGATAATTTGGGTTGACTTTTACAGAAATATAGGGGGGGCTGCAATGGTTAAGGCGGTGAAGGGAGTGGCCCTAGCACCGCAGGTCCTCAAGGACGTGGCGGCGCGGTAGGCAGGTACGTCTTTGCTGCTTTTCCGCCCACCTCACGATAAAATAATACATGAGGAATATACTACTTCTGTTGTTTTAGACACAAGCATCCTCAGACAGACGATGAGTATTGTAGTCCAGCGAGAAGAAACAGACGCGATGTCTTCCAAGAGGGCTCGTGTTTCTAAGGGGTTCCAAAGGCGTGTCAGAGGCATTCGGGCCTCGCAGGCTAGTCCTTCTGGTGAATATAACATTGAGCTTTTATCTCTTGAAAGTTCATATATATTCCTGCGTAGGAGAGGCATATCTCTTCCGTTCCACCACCCACGCCGGGAGTTCATACATCCGTAACACAAGCTATATTTTGGAGACATCAAATGCCGGGATTCGCCAGAAGTGGCAGCCATAAAGGCTGTACAAGCTGCGGTATGCCAAAAGCGCCTCTGAAGGAAGGAAACCCCTTGAAAGGTGTCGAGGTTCTTGCCTTTTCGTGGACTGCTGCGCTCGCAGTGCCGGTAGTCAGTATACGGATGCACTGGCTCGTAAAAGGGCAATAGTATCAGTAGCAACTTGGAATCAAACAAGTGTAAAGAGCGGTGATCTAATCCGCAATTGGATATGTATGCAACGAGCTGCGGTACCTCTGCAACCCAGCCAAGACAAGGATCGCCTCCAAGTGAAGAGAAGAAGCCCCAAAAGCAGGTAAGAATAATGAAGAAAATTACCTTTTGTTTCAGCGCAGTCGCAAGGAGGCCCTCACTGAGGCAGCAGCAACTGCTGCTGCTGCTGGCTCATGCGGATGCGCTATGGACAAAGGCGCTGAGGCAGTGAGTGCTGATGCTGTTGCTTTTGTGTCCTCTGCAGCCGCTTTGGCAGCAAGAGCAGCGGCAAGAGTATCGAGCTTGTCTATTAAACTCTCGTTGTCCGTCTCAGCCAATACGCACCGCCGAGTTGCAGCTTCGAGTTGGGCTGCTGCATTGCGCAGCTGATCCTGCCGTTGCTGCAGCTCGGTCTGCAGCACCAGCAGCGGCAACGGCAAGTCATATGCTCAACTTTACCAAACAGACCTTGTTTTGTTGCCGCGCAGCAGGTCAAAATGCTGCCGTTGCTGATGGTCCTGCTGCTAGCGGGTCTGTTGCTAGCTAACCTGCAAGGCTGCGTTCTCAGCTTTCAGTGCTTCTTGGCGTTGCTGCCCCTCGGCTTGTGTCAGTGTCAACTGCAACAAGGCGCCACACGGAGCACTGGCTGCTGCAACTGGTGCTGCTACTGATTGTGAAGCACGTCGTGGGGTTGTATTCGCAACTGCTGCTCCAAGGCTGCGGGCGTGCACGAGGCCTTACGTGCGCGACGAGCTTCTCCGTTTGCTGCTGTCGTTGTTGCTGTTGTTTCTGCTGCTGCTGCTGCTGCTGCTGCTGTGCTCGCAACTAGCAACGCAACAGCACAATGAACGGAAGACTGTAGACGCTCACAGCTTGGCAGCAACAGCAACAAAAATAACAGCAACGCCGACGGGGCCTACTTGTGCAGCTACTTCCTCTGCCGCCTCCACGCGTCGCTGCAGTTGCCACTGCTGCTGCTCGCTCTGCTTCAGCAGCTGCTGCAGAAGTTCGATGGACTCTTCAGCCTTTCGTTTGTCCGCCTCTAGAGCGGACACAGCCTAAACAGCAGCACAAGGCTAGCATCAGATGCAGCAACTTCAGTTACGGCAGCATGAGTAGCAGCAGCCCCACAACAGGCACACCTGGGCTTTTGCCTCCAGAATCCCAATATGCTCTTGCTGCACCCGCCTCTGAGCCTGGGAATCATTTAGTGGCAATTACAGCGTTCACAGGGGTAAAAGCCAACGTAGCAAGGGCAGTGGGAGGTACAGCAGCTCTGCAGTAAGTAGCCGAGCTCAGCATTGTAGCTCCGACGGCAGCAGCATCGCTTCTTACAGTCCCTTACCTCGGCGCTCCTGGATCTTTCAAGCTCGGCTGCAAGAAGTTCGTGCTGCAGGTCTACCACCTGAGCAGCAGTGGGGACAGCACACAACGGCAGCATGTGTACATGACAACTGGGAGCGGACAGAGAGATCTTGTCATCAGCAAATCCCTATTCAGAGCATGTGAAGCTTAAACGTTCCGCCCTCAACGGACTGTCTTGCGGTGTTCTGCCAGCGTCATTGCCTGTGCCTCGAGCTGCGAACGAAGATGCTGCTCCATTTGCTGCTGTTTTTGCTGCTGTAGCTTCAGCTGTTGAAGCTCCTGTTGCAGCTGTTGGTGCTGCTGTTGCCTTAAAGGAGATGCTGGGCATGTGCCGCTTGTGCGTTGCTTCTCTTGCTCCAATCGCAATGCTACTTCTGAAGCAAACGCCACAGTCATGAACGCTGTGGTACTAATTGCAGTGGCCATGATGCCATTGCTGCTCCTACAGCAACCAATGATGCTAAGCCGGCTCTTGAAGTCCAGACAAACCTGAAAGTTGTAGCTTCCGCCTCGTCGCCTGCAAGCGACGTGGCAACCGCAACAGCACCGTCAATTTCAATTCCAACAAAGCAAAAACAGAGGCAGCAATGGCAGCAGAGATAGCAGTAGCAAGCATAAGAGTGCCGGCACATGCGCAAAAGGAACAGCAACGTGAGCTGCGCAGTAAGTGTTGCGCAGCAACTCACTGCAAGCTCCTCCTGCAACGTAGCAAACTCCTCGAGTGCCTGTGCATCTCCAATGCAGCGGCAGCGGCACATAACAAACGCATTCACAGATATCTTTTTCCCCCTTGTGGAACCCCTAGCATCGAAACATGAAGCTGCGTCATTCCAAGAGGCTTCAGAGGGGTGGAAGTGGCAATGAAAAAATGCAAATTCTGAGCTTTCAGTCTTTATGTTCCCAAGTCCTATTCGTGAAGAATTAGGAATTAAGACGTACTGGCGTGCCAAAATTCGAGGATGGTTTTGGTACACTGCTGAAGCAGCAACACGAACAAAAGCTGCGTTTTAGCAGAGCAGCAGGAACAGTACGCTAGCAAGAGCAACAAGGCAGAAGCAGCAGCCGCAGCAAGCGACTTTGCTTTAACATAGAGTTGCATGCAAAAGACACGCTAAAGCCTGATATTGCACGAGACGTACGGAGTGACTGCAGCAGCAGGCTCTGCTGGGTTGGTAGCAGCACCAGAACCAGCAACGGCAGCAACATGCTCGTGCTGCACGACAAATCGCACAGAAGAGATAAAAAGCGGCCTTCACTGGCAGCACTATAACCACAGTAAGGAGTAAACGCGCAGGGAGTGTGCAGCGGCAATTAGACTTACACAAGTAGCCCAGCTCTGCTGCTGCTGCTGCTGCTGCTGCATATTTTGTTGTTGCAGCTGCTCCTCATGCCGTTTCTGCTGCTGCAAAAGCAAGGCAGCGTGCCGATGCGCGGTCTTGCTGGCTGCTTGAAGTCCGAAAAGCGCTTCCCGCATTTCATTGTTGCGCTTGCGTTCAGCCTCAAGCTGCTGGTGGAGGTGTCGTATCTCCTCCTGCTGCTGCTGCATCCTCTGTTCCTGCTTTGCAGCCTGCAGCAGCAAAGCTATGGAAGGGGTTAAGCTTGGCATGCTGTGTCCGTTTATTCCTAAAAGCTATTTCTGCTGCTGCAACAAACCTGAATCTTCTCCATGCAATTCTTCTGCCGCAGCACTTCCTGTTCCTTTTCCGCTGCTGTCGCCCTGAAGCGGCAGCAATAGATGCAGCAGCAGCAGACGCCTAAGTAAAAGACGAAGCAAATACACTTTCGCAAGCGGACCATGGGACAGTGCGCTAACATAAATGTGTTGGCAACAGAAAACATTGTCACAAACGCAGCGACCATGAGAATGGCGTAGGCAGGAGATCCCTGCGGCTGTAAAAGCTGTACGGGACGAAGGGCAAGTAAAGTTGTTTACGGAAGATGAAGGACGGAGAAAAACACGCCAACGAATAACCAAATGGTCCTAGATGGTTTACTCACTTTTCTTTCGCATGCTGAAGGCCGCCCTCAAAATTTATTACCCTTGATATCCACTGCTTCAATTCTGCAGCAACTTCCTCCTTCTCAGCCTGCAGCAGCATCAACAGCAGTAGCAGCAGCTAACAGTAAGTTTAGCAGCAGCACAGACAGCTCATGGTGTGCATCACCACTTGTGAATGGAAGCGTGAAATAGCAGCAATAGCAGCAGCTTCTGCTTCTATTGCTGCCCTCAATACCACGACTGTGCCTTTGGGTTTTCTGCTGCTGCTCCGACAGCTATTTGATTGCCTTTGCAGTGAACTCCCTCTCATGCTGTTGGCAACAGGATGTGTTGGCTTGTAGTCCGTACTATTGCAGCCGCTACTGTTGCTGTACCTGCGCCGCTCTTAGCTGTTTTTGGAGGGAGTTGCAACGTTGCAGCAGCAGCCGGCGTTCTGTTGTGGCGTCGCCTCGAGTGCTCCTTAGCAGCAGCAGCCTCCTGTTGGAGGCTTTGCTACTGCTCGCGGCAGCAGTAGGGCGGACTAAAGATCTGCTGCTGTTCCCGCTTTTCAGGCTAGCAGAACGCAACGCCTGCAGCGGCATTAGCAAGCTTAGTTTAGATGGAAAAAATTCAAACCACGGCAGCAAGTAGATAATAGAGAGAGGATAGCCTACACGAACAATGGAAGCATAAACTCATGGGAGCATGCACGCTGCAGCACCTGATGGCTAGCGTTTAGCGCGTCAAAATCCCCCTGAAGATCTCTCAGTTCTTTCTCTTTTGAAAGCAGCAAAAGGCGCAGTTTCGTTTTCTCCTCGTTATCCTGCGGTTTCTGCAGCTCATGCAACTCCCCTATTTCCTTTTCGTGGTTCAGTTGCTGTCGAGACAGTTGCTGCTGCGGCAGCTGGCACCCATCCCGTAGCTGCTCCAACAGCTCTGAGGCTCCTGCGGCATCTCCTGCAGCAGCCACGCGGCCGGACAGAACCAGCAAGAATATGAAGTCCAATGACCGTGCTACAACAGGGCAATTTACTAGGGCAAAGACTGCATAAGCGGCAGCAACAGAAATTAAGCAGCAGAAGCGCAACTGCAACGATGGCTGCATGAGCAGGGAAACACGAAACAGTAGCCCCAGCTACAGTAATACAAACCGTGGTTACAGCAAAGACAGCAGGAAGAAATAATGCAGCAGGAGCCCTACGCAGTTTCCCTTCTCCCTCGAGAGTGAGTGATCTGAAGCACGCCAGCGTATGCATGCACAAACAGTCTTTAGGATACGCAGCAACATGCAGCAGCTGCGGAACTAACAGCGAACACGGCACAATACAGGTTCACGTCGGCCAAAGAGGGTCGTGAGGTGTTGGAATTCGAGGCACCAGCTGTAGCTGAGGCAGTTGCAGCGCGTATGGCCGGAAAAGTCAAGCTGCGGCACACAGCTTCCCAAGTAACGATAAGTAACCAGCAGCGGCGGTTTGCGCATCAGTTGTAAACAAAATGATCGGCAAACGACAGCAACATGAACAGTAGAAACAGTCACGATAACTCCAGACGTTCCAACAGTAAGAGCAGTTGACAGAACAGCAACGGTGGAAACGCGGGCAGAAAGTTACGTGCAACTAAAGACAATAGCGACCTGCCCCTGGCGATCTGTGGCGTTTGCTGCTGCTGGCGTTTGCCGCTTCGTATTTTCCAGCAACAGCGCTCTGCATGACCGTAGCTCTTCCTGCAGCTGCTGCTGATGTCGTTGCTGCTGCCGTAGCTGCCGGTGTACTGCTTCTGCTTCCCTTTTGTACTTTTCTGCTTCTGCTGCCTCCCGCTGCTGGCCAGCAGCGGCAGCAGCGGCAGAGACGGTTTCTTCACGCAGTCGCTGCTGCAGCTCTCTGTACCTGAGGTGCAGATACAGCGGAAGAAACGGGAATAGTCCATATGTGCGGCTAACGAGGAAGCGAACCTTGCTGTTGGCGATTGGACCGGCACAAGAGCAGCTGGCGCCGAAGCTTCGCGGTGCAGTTACCATTAGCAACATGCAGTACACCAGCAGGAATGCAATGGAAGCAGAGGCATCTGCCGGGTGTGTGTACACCTGATGATGAGGGCCCTGAAGTGCCCAACAGATTTGACTAGGTCAGAGAGCAGTCGGGAGGCGAGCTGGCAGCTTTTGGCGTCCAGATTGTCCTTGTATCCCAGAGAGTGCAGCTGCTGCTTCAACTTGTGCAACCGGCACTTCTGTTCCTCCGTTGCAACCTCTTGTTCCTCCTGCTGTTGCTCGGTCTGGTCAATGTGCCGCTGCTGCTGCTGCCGCTGCTGCTTTGGGTACTCTTGCTGCCGAAGCGCTGCGGCGACAGTATACGAATTGACTCCTGAAGGAGTACGGGGAGTAATTTTCTGTCGTTGCTGCTGCTGTTTCTCCCTGTGCTGCAGATCATGCTTCTGAGGCTCTAGCCGTAGCAACTGGCGTTGCTGCTGCTCGTACAGCAGTGGGTTCAATGGAATCCACGGAGCATTTAAAGACTTCATCGCTGCAGCTTGTCTCGAACCACTAGCTAGAGCTGCGATCTCCGTTGCTTTTGCAGCCGCCGCGGGAGAAAGATGGTGCGGATTATTGCCCCGCGCTGCAGCAGAGCCAGCAGTAGCAGGCTGGTGGAGACTGACAGGGCCCTCCATAATGCGCCGCACGGAAAAACCGGCTACTGGGTTTAAAAGTCTGGGAAGCGAATGCGCAGATCCCCCATTTGATGCGCTTCTTGCGCTGCTGCTGCTGCTGTTGCTGTTGCTGCTGCCATTGCGACTGTTGCTGCTGCTTCTGCTGCGACTAGTGGGCCCCGATGCCTCTTGTTGTGTCCGAGACAAACAGATTTGGTCAGCAGTGTCCCCACTATTGGTGAGACTGCTGCTGGCATCTTTGTTGGAGCTATCATGCTGCCGGTTACATTCCTTGGTGGGGAATTCCCCATGTTTTGGCTGTCCCATGCTATGTTCTTTCTGATTGCCACGCGGCATGAGCTACGAACATCGAGTGTTGGTTCGGAGGCGCCGTCCCTAGTGCTCACTCGTTGCGGGCGAGTAAGAGCTCTGTAAGAAGCAGTTGCAGCTCCTGATATAAGTGCTGCAAGCGAGTGATAATCAAAAACGTGGAAGCACGCGGAGTCTTGGTGGACTTGCTCTCCCTGCTAGCGCTGCTGTCCTGGCCATCCCCCTTTTCCCCCATCTGCGACAGCTGGTCCACCCAAGCCTTTAGTAGAGCACTGAGGCATGAGCGGCACCAGCAACAGGCCGTAATATAAAGCAGGAGCGTTGAAAATTTGGAAATAATTAGGGATATTCTCAACCAGGAACACAGGGTGGCGTTGGGGCCCGCTACCGACTGTGTTTATGAGTGGGGTTGCTTCACGGGCTGCCAGCTCATACTCAGTGCTCAAAGTAACTGATGAGAGCAGATAATATGATTCAAATCGAGAAGTGACATCGACTGAATGGTGTACTTTACTTTGAGTTCCCGTGACCCCCATAAGCTCCCCCTTTTTAGCTTCCCAATGCATTGATTGATATAGAATTCTAGTTTTCATCAGAATGTCATAATCATTTGCGCTGCGCATACCTATGAAATGGTATATTCAAAGGAAACATAAATACAAAGATAAAGCAAAGAACGGAAACGTCAGCCACCTGTGGGAATCGAACCCACGACCTTTTGATTACGAATCAAACGCACTACCAACTGTGCTAAGGTGGCGCCATGTCTGCTCGCTAGAACCTGCAGCAAAAGACCCTGCGAGAACATGGCTCACCTAGATTTTCATTCAAAAGGTTTATTTCTACAGCCTCCCTCCTCCAATATTTTAAAATGTTCATTGCCAGTAGTACACAAACCTTGAGCTTTGCAGCAAAGAAGACATCCACTCCCTGGAGCCCATGGGAGCACTTCTGCAATTTCGTGCCCAATAAGCGCAGCATGAGCAGCAGCATCAGTACAACTGAATTATTAGCTTCAAGATGATTGAAAATCCTTAGTTGAATCCAGGTTAAGGTGTAGTTGGCTGTTTTACGTGATAGGGGCGGACGACCAGGGTCTGTCGGCCCTGATCGTATACTGCAAGCGCAGTCTCGCTGCAGGCTCAAGCGTCTTGTGCTGTTGTATCTTTGCCTGTTTGATTTAATGTAAATATTTCCCCCCACTATCTGCTGTTCCCAACGGCGCTGCAACGCGCAGCTGCGCTGCTCGTTCTATGGCCTGGCAGCTCACAGCGGACGACGCACAAGCCTACGGGGGCCCTAGTCGAAGGGCGCCTCGCCAGCCTTTTCCGTTTTTATCTGTAGCAAATGCGGGCAGCAGCAGGAACAACAAGAGCAGCAGCAACAACAGCTGCTGCAGCAGCTGCAGCAGCAGCTACGGCAAGAGCTGCTGCACGGGGTATCTCCTTCTTCATCGGGAGACCCTTCGGTCTCACATGCCTCTTCGCTGCTATAGCATTCAGTGCCTTTAGGCCCACCGACGCGCTGCAGCTGAAACATCAGCAGCCAGCAGCAAATGCTTCTCTCCCTATGGCCTGGGCCTCACAAGGCTATGGCCGTCTCATGGGGATCTCAACGCGGGCCCCTTTGGCAGCCAACAGAGGAGATGCTCTTTCCTTACTCAGACGCCGTCCTGCCCCGGTTGCAGCAGCAGGGACTGCTGCAACTGCGGCCTTAATGACTGCGGCAGAAGCGGCCGATGCAGCAGCCATCGCGGCAGCAAAAGCAGCGACAGCAGCCAAAACAACCGCGTCATCTTTGTTCCCCTATGGGTTGCCCCCCGCTCTTTCCCCCCAGTCAGCAGCAAGCCCAAAAACTGCAGCGGCACTGGACGAGGCGAAGGAGGTCATTGAAAGGGAGATGTGGCGCCTGTACAATACACAGCAGCAGCAACCGCAACAGAAGCAGCAAAAGCTGCTCTCTGCACAGCAGGTGGAACAGCTCATTGGATTTTCGAGAGACTTCTGCAACTCTGCGAAAATCTCCGGCAAAGCGACTGCTGTAGAATGCGTCGTTAAGCTGCTGTCAGCCTTTCGTCAATATTGCCTCATCCACAGTAGCTCCTGCGCCGCAACTTTTAGTTTCTTCGCTTCCTGCTGCTGCTGCTGAAATACCGATAGCAACGAGCAAATATGGCTCCTTCAGTTATAGCCTTCGTAGTTTCGACTGCCCCGCCTCTTCGGTGCCTCTGCTGCCAATCTTACGAGTCTCCTTTGCTTCTGTTACCCTATCTTTATCTCTCCTTCATCCACCTTCCCTATTGTTCGTCCCTGACTTTCTGCGTCAGTGTGTCTTTCTCCGTCCTGAGAACGTTTCACGACTTAGCAATGACTGCAGCTGCTGCTGTCCTACGGAGTTGCCGCTGCTGAGTTTTTGTCTCGTGAGCTAATTAAAGCTCCTGCTGCTGCTGGTGCCGCTGTGTGTGTGTGTGTATGCAGAAGCGTGCTGCAGCAATGCATGCGGTGTTCATCGTATGTATTCTCAGCGTTCAGTGCGGCGCAGAAAAGCCCCATGGACTTTACTGAGTGGTCATTGTCCATTTGGGAGCCTCTTATAGATCTGGAAAACAGCAAGCTGCATGTACGCGGCAAACTCTATTTTTTAATGAAGCAGGTTTCCCGCAGCCTTAAGTTTCTTTTGTAGAGGCCAACTTTCATGACTCACTCAGTTCCACTCTGGCTATGTTGCGCCTCTCTTCGGTGTTTGGTTATGGCTTGTGCCCATCGGTGCCTTTTTCGGCTGCTCTGCGCTCTGTCCTTTTCAATGATTTTCGTAGTCCCTATGCCTGTGCGCCTCTCTGCTCCTTCACTCCGCGAACTTACCTTATTTTACTTTGACCCGTTCCTTTTCGCGTGCTCGTCTTGACGTGCTTGAACGTCTCTGCTTATAGTTCTCTCTCTGAGCAGGCTTTAAATTTCTTTTTGAACCTGTCTGTGTTTTTCGTATGCAGGTTTGTCATTAGTCGTGCCTCAGCGCCTTCCATATATATTTGTCCCTAAATTCACCTGATTTCTGTTTCCCGTGCTCTGTGTCTCTGCAGGTCTCTGAAGACACTCTGCTTAGGTTATCTCGGCACCTCAGGTCTGGGGGCAACGCCGTGCTACTCTCAAATCACCAGACTGAGCCCGACCCTCTCTTAGCGCGGCTTCTATTCCGCAAAAGAGGATTTAATGATCTTTATGAGGCGCTTACTGCCGTGGCTGGCTACAGGTGGGGCACAGAGAAACAACGGCTTACGCAGACTGCAAGTGTTGTAGTGGACACTCACCATTAATTCCATCTTGAGGCCCTACTGCAGTGTACGTTCAGCACAACGTTTTGTTCTGGACGCGTTGTCTTCGCATTTTCAGTGTGCATCTCTTTCATTCGCGGCCCCTGCTTTTGACTTCTACTTCATTAGCGGATGGTTTGGCTGAAATCGCTTTTGCTGCCCTCGCTAAATCGTCGCGCCCCTGTGTGATTATGTCTCCGTCTGTGGCTGTCTCATTCGGTCCCCTTTTTGCGTTCACCTACTATGAATGAGCGTACGCCGGGCAGCCTGCCCCACTCTGTTCTCTCCCCCTACTTCTGTGTAACTGTTTGTGCTTGAATTCGATGTTGTCTTAAGGGTACGCTCGGACTTACTGTCAGTGCCGTTTTCAATGAGCTGCGACATGATTTGTGTGCACTCAAAGAAGCATCTGTCCTCTGGTGCCGACGGGCTGGAGCAGCAACGGCGAGAGAACGTGCAGGCCATGCAGGCGTTGCAACACCTGCTGGAGAAAGGAGGCAGTCTGATATGGGTGGCCCCCAGCGGGGGTCGTGATAGGGCCAATCAGCAAGGGGTGTACGCACAACCGGACCCTTTCGATGCAAAAACCGTCCAGACCTTTTCTCTCTTTGCAAAACGCGCCCGAGATTCCTCAGGCCACAAGACCCTCTTCTTCCCTATGGCCGTCTATACAGCCCCTATCTGCCCTCCTCCTAAAGAGGTACCTATAAAGAATAGATATGCACATACACAAGAGAGATGAGCACGCAAGCTAATCCTATTCATTCCAGTGTGTGCTTTGGGTGTGCGTGAGAGTGCATATCCACAAGTTCCCAGTACACACTTGTGCATGATGCTCAGTACATACTTGTGCAGACGTACTAAAGGGTGAATATGTAAGACAACTATGTATCTCTCCGCGCACTCGTGTGCATCAGTATGCATGCGTAGGATTAGATGCCTTTGTGTATTCACGGAGTCCTGTATACCTATATCTACGTCGTTCCGTGCAAGCTTGAGGGTAAGTGCACCCACTTATCTTCTGAGTTTTTGTTTTTCATTGCTTCTTAAAGGACAACTGTACTCACTTGCCGTTGATGGCGTCTGCTTGTGCCTGTGCCCATGTGCCTCCTTGGTTTTTGCCGTTAGCTCTGTCCGCATATGCGTTTTCGACTGGTGCCTGAAGTGTTGGGGAATATGTTTACTATAGGTTGCAAAGGAGCTGGGGGAGACGCGGAGTTGCAACTTTTCTCCCGTAGGGCTGGCCATAGGGGAGCCCTTGGAGGCCGACCTGTCTTCAAGCCTACTGACTGCCAAGGCGGAAGAACAGACGAGAGCCCTTTACTCCGCAGTGTCATCTTTCCCTTCTTGACCTAAGCTCTAGACCCCAATTCACGCCATCCGACGAACCCTAGTAGGGAACGGCTTTCCAAGTCGCCGTCGCATGTCCTCCCAAGCACCTTTTAGGGACTTAACACAGCCAGGGGCCTTGGTATTTAGGTTAAGCGCTAAAGGTTCCTCAAACCGGTAGCCCCTAATTATTTCCGGAAATTGCTGTAATGGATTACGACCACCTCAAAAACTAAGTCTTGAACGCCTGCAGAAATTGCGCAGCAGCAAGTGTTGCTGACCGAAAGGCCTCAAGGCACCTTCATTCTCTCAGTCGCATGCATTTTCTGCATCTGCCCTTGCTTAGACTTCCTGCAGTAGCAGGTGCTGCAGTGCAACTGCCTGCTTGAACATACGGCAGCTGGGAGAAAATGCGAGGGTCTTGGCTCTGCCGGCTTCCCTCCTCACTGACAGAAGGGAAGCGACCGCTTAACCGGTCTGTTGTTGTGTAGTCAAAGACAGAATACAAGACAGGAAAAAAGGACAATGCAAAACTTAACACAGCGTTTTTGTTTTTGCAGCCCGCGAACCAAGCAGCATGAGTTGCATAGATGGGTGCAAGCGTGCTTGCAAATTTAACATGTCGCCTGCGGTCCAGCATGGTGTATCACCTCCTAGAGCAGCGGCAGGCTAACCTTACGCGCAGTTTGGTGCCGTGCTTTGAGAGTGGATGTCAAAATTTACAGCCTCGCTTGCTGAGGAGTGCAAACAAGGTCGATGGAAGGAACGGGAAGACAAACAAATGGATAACATCCGTAGTTTTAGTGTCTTGTTCAGGGCTTGCGGTTTTGAGGCCGTCTACGCTGGCGTCTTCTTTGTTTTGCAGGCTAGGAATATCTGCGTTTGTCTTTTCCCATCCCTGTCAACATAATTGTTATAGTGTGTGTGTCACCGTCTCTCCACCCTCACTTTTTTTCCTTGTGATTCGGCTTGTGCTGTCATTCAAAATTAGTTTCTGTTTGCACTTTGTACCGGTTCTTTTCGCCTTGTTCAATTGAAGTCTTTGTTAATGATGTGAGGACCAATTATTGACGTGTGATGCGCCTATATGCTTTCACGCGTGTGTATTTGTATCTGCCTATTTACACGCGTCTACCCATGCTTGCATCTGTATGAACCCATATCCATGGATATCTGTTTAGGTGCATGCTTGGCTGTACAAGAGCATATATGTACGTCCCTATGCACAGACATGCATAAAATACGTGTATGCGCGCTTGCAGTTTTGGCGTATGCGTGGCTTCTGAACACATGCACTGTGCGCAAGCGCTTAGCTACCAGTATGTGAACGCGTGGCCTGGCTTTTCCTGTCGTCTAGGGTTGGATAATCGCACTGCATGTGTATATATATACATGCGTACAAATGTGCGTTAATGTGTACATATATGCACAAGCGCTTCGTTACATTCATCCATCTCTACGTACAGATGCCGTTTGTATGCAAGGGCATCAGAACATTTACAGAGTGGTACACACACAGCTAGGTCTTCCTGCTTTAAGATAATTTGTATTTGTATGGGAATACAATGCTTGAGTATATGTTCTCTGCAGTTGCTGGGGGTTTTACTACGCTAAAATAATTCATATTCAAAGGGGGGTACAATGCTGGAGTATACGCTGTTCTGCAATTCCTAGACTCATCTCCTCTGTATGTTCATCGCAGCATGCAGTGGCCTTGTCCTTCAGCTACAGTATTCGGGGTATGTGCCTTGACAGGGTAACGATAAGGGTCTATGGAAATACGTTTATTCTCCCGCGGCTGCTGCAGTCACGGCTGCAGCAGCTGCATCCGTTGCTACCGCTACTGTGGCCACTCGCACACTCCAGTGGTGCCGCCGCCGCTGTTAAAGCCTAAGCGTTGCACCGCATGCAGCAGCAGCAAGTGTTGCTCCTTTACGCAGCTTAAAGATTTTCGTTGCGTCTACCAACATTAGCCAAGATTGAGCTGAAAATACCTCCAGAGCAGCGGCCAAGAGGCAAAGGTCCTGCTGCTCTTTCTGTTGCTGCTGCCGTAGCTGCTGTTGTGGCAGCGACGTGCATGCTTCACCAGCAAGTGTTCTTATGTTGGGGGCATTTGCCAGGGCCTCGGGGAGCTGCTGCGCTGTTGTTGCTGCTGTCGCTGCCCACGGGAGCGGCTGTGACTCCTGCGATTTCGCCCGTGGGAATTCCCTTGACGCTGCTGGTACTGCTGCTCCTGCTGGGGAGGGTGCAGGAGGGCCTGTTGTTGCAGTGGGTAGTTTGGCTGCTGCTGTTGGGTGCACCGCTGCTGAACCTGCTGTTGCAGGGGCTGGGGCTGCTGTGGCTGCTGCTGCGACTGCTGCTGCGGTGGAGGCGGCTGTGGCTGGCTGAGGGGTGAAGAAACCGGATGCGCTGCAGACAGAGCAAGGGCCGGATACTCCGGTTGCTGCTGCAGCTGCTGTGGCTGCTGCTGCTGGTAGACCGATTGCTGCTGCTGTTGTGCCTGGCTCTGCTGCTGGCTGCTGGGGATGAGGTGCTGCACTCTGAAGAAAACAGAAACCATACAGGGGCGGAGAGGACCGCAGCAATTCATTCTGAGCATCTTCACATGTACATGCAGATACGTGACTTTGGGACTGCATCGTGCTAACAGGGTATCCCTTCTTTCTCAGCCGACAAACCCGCAGTATCCTTCCTCGGCACTATTTAGGCAACAACCGCAGAAGCATCCACCGGCATCTCACTTTGTAAGCGCCAATGCCTCTTGGACTAGTAGCATTTGCCCCTGGACTGCTTCTCTATCATACGGAATATTCTCTAGCTTGAGGGCTTCCTGAGGCGTGAGCAGTTTCAGTGCGGCCCTTGCAGTCAAAAATTCCTCTTCGCTACGGAGGCGGCAAAGTGCCGTTGAGAGCCACTCGCTGCGGGTCGTCAGAGTAGCTGTGAGAGAGGCTAAGTCCGCAGTGCGAGACAGAAATATCCTGAAAAGAAAACGCAAGCCCGAGATTTACGTCGGCGCGATTAGTAGCATTCTCACCGCCCAGGGTTCGTTCGACTCTACTTTTACTACGATTGGCGCTGTAAGAGTTAGTTTCGCTGCAGCCACAAGTAAGATGTATGGGTAGAATAGGCCAGAAACAATCGTCAGAAATGGTGCTGCTTTTAGCGCCAACGGTGTTTCTACTGCTTGTGCTGGTGCTGCAGCTCCTAAACGTGCATGGTATCACCATCATTACCATTAACATTGCTGTTATTGTCCCTACTATCCAGTGTGATTGCGTGAGTTATAAGCTGCCCTTTACGGCGACATGCCTATCGCGTAGGAATTATCTCCCTTGCTCTCCTTCTAAATCTGTGCACTTGGCTTATCTAAATAAATTTATTTTCACTGTTTGCGTGCTTCGGCTTCGTTTGTGTTCTAGTACCACTAATTCTGCATAAGTGGGGCCAATCTATATGTGCGTTATCCTCACCGGTGCTGCTGAAGTACTTTAATGACGAGCTGCAGCGCAGTCTCTGCGAACTGCACATCTACAAAAAGAAGGAGCAAACAAAAATGAGTCCAGTGTGATGAGGAAATCCTGCACTGCTTCTTTTGTTCACACAATGTATTCCGTTGTCAAGTGGGAGCTATGTTCTGCGCTGGTCGGGTTCACTGTCTTCGGCGTGTTCCTATATCTTGCTGCATTAGTTCATTTCTTGTCTCCCTAAACTCTGCTGGTTACATGACACACTACATGACTCCTTTCCTGTGAACTTCGTGCTCACTGTGTCTCAGTTGCATGCTCAGTCTTTCCGTATGTTTGTGTCTCAGCCTCTACTTCCCTCTACCTGGTCAGCTAAGCTCTATGCGTGCATCTCAGTAGCAACTTTCAGTCTGACCTTGGCAGATCCAGTGGCCACGCACTGGACCCCCTCTACCTCCGTCTCTAGCGTCTGTAATCGGGTCTGCTTCTCTATCTTGGCTTCTAACGGCCTTTGTTTGCTACTTACTAGAAAGGTCTTGCAATGTCGGCAGCAGCATCTCGAGCGCCTGCAGGAGTCCCGTTTCTTTGATTTGTTCAAAAGATATAAGACCCTCAGCCACCAAATGTCTGCAAAGCGAACACGCTTTTTCTTGGTACTGAACACCACACAAAACAAGTGGATGGAAATATAGCCAGTGCAATTTGATCTATCTTCTATACCCGGCACCAAGACATGTGGAAATGGTGCTCAAGAGCAAGAAGAAGCAAAAAAGGCAACAAAAGACATATGCACAGGGATGGTGACAGAAAACGAAGGATGGCGAAAGATCAGAAGTTGAGAGCCAAAGCTGAAACACAGGGCCAAAAAGTGTGACAACCGCAACTTCAAGGCACCGAAGAAAGCAACCGCTCGTTCTCACCTTAGGATCATCACTTTTAATGGCGTAGACCAGCAGCGTCAACCCTTTGCTCTTCAAAAACGTTTCTTCACTCGGTCTGTGATTGCGCAACAAACACGACAACGTCTGCAGCGCCCGCACACGTAGTGCCTTGCTCCGCGGGCTCTCCTTCACTAGAGCAAACAACACCCCTAGTCCCTAAACACAAAAGGAAAGCAAACAAGTCAAGAGCACAGTAAAAGACAAATAAATAGCTGGATATCGAGTTACTTTTCCCCGCAAAGTTTCCCACATTGGTCCCCTAAACAGAAAGCCCAGGGAGGACAGCAGAAGATAAAAGCTCAGAAAATGGATTTAGCATTAAGCGTCTAGACCTTGTCTGACCCCCAGCTCAGCGACTGCTTGCTGAATTTGAGGGTTGTTTTGCATGACAGATGCAAGAATTTCCAATGTCTTCTCCAGAATTATAAAGGCCTTCGCAGCCTCGCTTTCCTCCAGCACTTGTGGCTGCTGCTGCTGTTGCTGTTGCTGCTGCTGCTGCTGGGCTGCAGTTGCCGAACTCCCAGAGGCCGCAAGCGTTGCTCGATCCATCGAAAGAAGCCTTAGCAAAGGCTCCAAAGCGTTCAACCTGGGAAGCAGAAGTAAGAGGGGCAAGTACATCAACAGGAGTAAAAGCAACAGTGCGAGCGGAATAAAATCAGCAGCTCTACAGAACAGTCGAGGCTTCAACCAAAGCAAAATATGAAACAGCACAACCAGCATCAAGTGGTACGTAAAGGCAGCTGCAACCGCAAAAGAAGCTGCGGCTGCAACATAATCGGCAGCAAAACCCCAGTGGCAACAACAGCAGGAACATACTTAGCTAGGTCCCTTGAGAGTTCGGGATAGTCCTCTATCAAGCGCTGCACAACTGATAGGGCAGCGATACAGTCACGACCTGACGGCAGCAAAACAACAGACGAAGATTTAGCAGAAGATGCAAGAATCGAGTGGGACAAAAAATGCGACTTCTGAAAACCAGTTAAAACTGTCTAAGAGTATTGGAGCTTACGGGCAGGATTTACTGTCACGTACTACGCTTCTGCTTTAGAATTCAAGTGCACAAGTGCCACTAGATATAAAGGAACAGTATAGTAGCCTCAGGATTTATGTGAAGGCTTTCCCGTGTTACGAAGGCCCAGCTACACAATGCCTGCGCGCCGAAGCACTATGCACTGAAGGCCTGTCTTGGACCTAAAGGAAACAGCTTAATGCGTATTCTACAGCCTCATGATAATAATGACTTGAGCCCACGCTGAGCGCGCCCTTGGATATGCAATGTCGCATTTTGTGTCTAGCGTCTCAACCCCGTTGGTCCGGAATAGAAGACTTGGCTACTACAATACTTAAAAGTTCAAGTTTAGGGTTAAGGGTTGACATACCTTTCGTTTGTGAGTTCAGAAAGTTGTTCACTATGGTCATTTGCTCTTTAATGACCTCTACGGGATTCTCTTCGGCCTTAAAAGCCTCTTGAATGGCTCCACGTAGGAAGTCAATATCCTCCTCCTTGAGGCGGCACTGAGGAGACGTGCCATCTGTACCGACAAGTCCAACTAACAGAATACTTGTAACAAATAGAGTGGCCAGTAACAAATAGCAGTATCAAGCTTGCCCCTATGCACAGTCACCATTCAACTGTCATGCACCAGGTAACTGGGACGTTGACGCCTTCCTAAGCTTGCCTGCGCCCTTGGAGGAAATGCAGCATGATTGAATAAACAGTAAAAGCAGGTAATAACGGGTGCACTAGTTGAATGGGTCGCGGTGGTTATGAGCAAGTACACGTGGAGACATTGTACTCACAGTTTAGCAAACTGTGCACATAGTTAAGGGCTGACGTATACAGTTTATCAATCAGTGCAGAGGTGAGTGCTAAGAAGCATGGAAGCAGAGCGAGAGGTCATTAGCCCAGTTCGGCAAAACCGAGCATACCGAAGGTTAACTGCGGTGCTACTGTAGTTGCTGCTACTGCATCTGACGTTTCGCTTCACCTGAATATTTTATGGACCATCTGTAGAGGCCCGGCCAGTCGATGCCATCTCCTGGCTGCGCCATTTTCGAGGGCAGGGGGCGTCACGTTGGCTGTCACACGCCAGTAGCGGTACTGGCAGCGGCGGCAGCTTCGAAAGAGGCAGCTGTGTCCAGATGACTCTTGAAAGCAGCTTTGTCCGGTGCTCCTGTACGTCCTAGAAGTCGCGGTTGTTGTGCCGCTGCTTCTGCTAGTGCTGCTCTTACCGTGCCTGCAGCTGATTTAGCGACTAGTGCAGCTGCCTGTGTGAAGACTGCTCTCTTCTCCTCGGGGTCACCTGTAGGACGCAAGAGTTGTTTCCTTTGCAGCTGCAGGTTTGAGACCCTGCTCTGTATGATTTCCGCTGGTAACTAGTGAGTTAGTGTGGCTGTTGAGCAATTGAGGGAAGACGGCCTGCAATGCCTTCTTTGTACGCACAGTACATAAATCACTCTGAAATTTATCGAAGGCAAGGAAACAAGCCCCTGTATGAGCCTGCCGATACACTGCAACAGCGCCTTCGCATGTCGCCACCCCAGCAGCCACAAGGGGGCCAGGGTTCCGCTTGCTATGCAGCACACGAGCAGCAGGCCTGCCAATAGCTAGAAGCAGTTTTATTTTAAGTTAACACTATTAAATCAAACTTAGTGCGAGGATTTATACGGTCGATAGGCTCAGATTACCCCGCTGTAAATGCCGATGCTGCTGCACACATAAACACTGCCGGGCCCCTTTTGCAATGTACACCCACCTTAGCTTCTGCGCTGTACTTTGAAGTACTTTGAAGGAGAGAGGCCATATGAGGGCGTCAGATCTCTTTCAAGGCGCGTATAGGCGTCGGGATTCCCGTAAGCCGCTGTTGGGTTGGAGGAGGTTAGAGCATCTACAGAGGCAGACAGATGCTAAATCGAGACTGTTGCTCATGCTTAGTTGTACCGTGCAAATAAGGGAATCATCAAAGAATATGTGCCTGATACGTAGCGGCTAGTTGGAGCTTATAACCTATGGCCAAACCAAAGAGGGCAATGAGAGGTGTGCTCTCCGGAACATGAGCAGATACACTTAAATCTCCTCGCAGACGTATGCAAATATTTCCACGGAATAAATTTATTTGTGGGCCTTTATACCGAGCTATTCGGGAGTGTATTCACGGTAACTTGCTGGGAACGGGAGATAAGCGGTGCCCCTCTGCAGTGCACGTAACATCAGCTGACACATGAGACTCCTCATGTTTCAGCTGATGTTACGTGCACTGCAGAGTGTGCTTCGCATGCTCAATGAATACGCATAAAAGCCTATATAGACCTATGTGTTTAAGTACAGAGGGCGCGTTCATCGCCCAGTGCATCCCCAATCATACGCATGTTAGCCTAAGAACTAAATTGGATAGTTCCAAACAGGCTTCGCCGCATCGGTAAGGACAGCACAAGTGCCCGTGTCTCGGGCCCCCTTATTTTTGCACATTTTTCGCGCGTTATGTGTTAGCTTGCGGGTCTCCGCACTTCTTTGTTGCTGTTTGCCTTGGTCATGCAGCCATAATGGCCACATATCCTTCGGGCACTCCTTAGTTGCCTTGCTTCGGCTAGCCATACCTGGCCACCACTAGCCGCCACCTATTCGAGCTCAGGAGAAGCATCACTCTCTGGCTTGCGCTTCAGCACCCCAGTTTTCCCTTCGCCTTTTTTGTTCTCACGCCCAAAATCCTGAAGGAGATTTTCGTTTTCCTGTCTGCATTTCCGACCCCCTCTGTCCTAGTTCACATCTTGCTCATAATTAGACGCTCTAAAACCAAAACCCTTGAATCTATGCCGCCTTTCTGAGCTTATTCTCCCCTGAGCCCTAAACTCAGATAAACTCGTCAGTCTACACTTACGCAGGTTCTACCTGAATGACCAGTACCGCCCCATCCTCCTTACAAACAAACAAAATGAAAACGGTGTACTTAGTGGTTTGTAGCCACAGATGAGCAACAGACCCATCCAATTCATGTGTGCGTGTCCTCAATTACTTGCATGTTTTCTCCTAACAAAAACACGTGCATACTTACTTATGAATGAGTGTTTATGTCTACAAGGTGGCATGCATAATTAAAAGCAAACACAAACACATTCTGTTAACATAAATGTAAGAAGCTTTAGTATATGTGTCAACATTATGCGCAATATAATTCACAAGTTACGTTACTGAAGGAGCACGGAAATACACATGCGAAAAGCTTCACCAACTGTCTGCATTATAACCCGATGGCCGTCACATCATACGACCCATAGGTGACTAACTAGTAAGTTAACTGCTGTAAGAATGGTGATGATGCATGGCTGAACACTTCTCTCTATTTCGTATGCTGCGGGAGATGCTGCTTGTCCGCACACCCAACAAACAATCCCTAAACCACGAAAACTTTCTGGATGCGTACGTAGCCTTTTCATCCGAGTAAAAAAAGCACTTTCAAGCCCATACCCGTCTAGTGGGCCCTTTAAGTACAATTTAGGATGCAGCGCTGTAGCGCGGGGGCTTAACTCTTGAGATTCAGGTTTCACCGGCCTGAAGAGCTCAGGGCATCCATGTTTTGTAGAAGTCGTTTCCGTTGGTGTCTATAACAACAAATGCTGGAAAGTCCTCCACACGAATACGCCAGACAGCCTGATATGCAAGAACCCACAACCCTACAGGCCATCATCAACGTAGTCCTACATCACAGACGCCAGAAACGCATGCCTTGAATTCCACCCACAAAACTTAAAGGCTGGAGACCAACCCTCCTAGCACTAGACCCCCACAGCTCCAAACCCTTCACCCCCAATAAAAAACGTTGAGCCCCAAACCCTTAGTCCAGCTTTACCTCCATGCCAAGTTCCGGGTACTCAACTACTTCGACTTCTTTGATGCAGTTCTCTGCGATTCTGGCTGCGGGGCCCCCGATGGAGCCCAAGTAGGCGCCGCCGTATTTCTTGCAGGCTTCAGCGACTGCTGCTGATCTGTTGCCCTTTGCAAGTGTCACCATGCTGCCACCCTTAGCCATAAAAGCTGGCACGTATGGGTCCATGCGGCCGGCAGTGGTGGGGCCGAAGGAGCCGCTTATCCGGCCCTCGGGAGTCTTCGCGGGACCTTAAAGCCACAAACACGCTCAGCACCGAGCCCTAGATCCAATGCTCTAGATGCAGAAGCAGGAGCGGCAGATGCAAACTGACATAAAGCGCCGTGGTAAACGGCAGCAGCGGTGGCGCGAGACACAGCGGGCGCAATCAACAGCACTTGCAGCGGCAGCCAACAAACAAAACAGTAGGCAAAGCAACCACGGCTGCAGCAGCACCTTCAAAAATGCCGCCGCAACCAGTGCCAGCATCAACAGCAGCATCACCGGCGGCAGCTTCGCCGCTTCTGCAGCAGGGGCCCTCCCTCACCAGCATAGTAGATAGGGTGTTGTTTGAAGTATTCCGGGAGATCTCCTTCCTTCTCGAGCCTCTCCATCAGCTTCGCATGCGCAATGTCCCGAGCTACAATCAATGTCCCAGACAGCGACAGTCGTGTCTTGCAGGGCAGCTGCTGCAATGCTTGCAGCAGCTGCGACATTGGCTGGTCAAGACTTAGACGCACCGGCTCAGTTATGCCCAGGTCAGAATCCGTGACTGAGGGCAAATATTTTGTGGGATCCGTCTCGAGTTGCTCCAGGAAAACTGAAGGTAGAAATAGAGCCAGATACGACGTGCTATAAAGTACGTGCGCTTACAGTTTTACCTGTGCTATTGCTTGCGTATGCATAATTCGGAAAATTCAGTGAGGTCTCTTTGAAAAGGTTACAGGCTGACTAAAGTTGTTCCTTCCCATCCCTTGTTCCCCTATTCGCTAGGAAAGTCAATTTAAGGAGGCCACGCTTGTTTCTCTGGGAAAGCACAAGTTAGAATGAAGAGCGCGGGCTGGCGCCAAATATAAAATAATGTTCAGATATTCCAGCTAATGAATGCTTATATTCCTCACCTCCATCTTCGTTAATAACGGCCAGCGCTTGCCTATCAGCTGAGCATGATACGCCAATCCCCACAGGCAAAGAGGCTCCATGTCTGGGCAGTCTGATAATCCTCACATCATGGCAGAAGTACCTGCCTCCGAACTGAGCACCGATTCCAATCTCCCTTGTCATATTCAAAATCTTTTCCTCCATCTCTAAGTCCCTAAACGCCCGCCCGTGCTCGTTCCCGCTGGTTGGCAAAGAGTCCAAGTATCGGCAAGAGGCCAATTTGACCGTTTTTAAAGTCTGCTCAGCTGAAAGGCCCCCGATCACCACAGCAAGGTGGTAAGGGGGACACGCAGACGTGCCAATCGTGCGAATCTTCTCTTCCAGGAATGCATACAACTTCGCTGGGGTCAATAAACCCTGGGAGCAGCGACAGTGGAAGCCGCACGCGCAGTAGCAGCAGAAGCTTCAGTGATCACAAAATGTGATAAACAGAGAGAGAGACTATAGGAACCACCACTAGACAAACAAATTGAAATAACAGTAACGGCAAGAACAAGTATGGGCACCCGAAGTAACAGAAGCCGCATCTGCACGAACAACAGGGGAAGTACCAGCAGAACAAAACAAAATATGTGCAGATATGGGGGATTTTTCGTGTCAATTCGAGATAAGCGAAATAGAGGGTGGGAGACAAAAAAAAGCAGAGCCAGACAGGCTCAGACAGAGACAAACACAAGCAGGCATCCACGCCTAAAGAGACAGATAAGTGAAGATATGAATTGATCGAAAACAGACAGGAGACAGTACAGCTGATGGCCAGCAGAGCCAAAATGACATACACCTCAAGACCGCAAACAGCAGCGGTGGACGCTGAATACAGTTCATGCAGACACATCTTCTCAGGGCAACAGAGGAACGCAGATACGGAATGCCGGGGGCACAAACAAGCACAAACTGCTTAAGACGTAGAAGAACGTGAAGAAGGATGGGAGTGGGCTACTTTCCGTCTGGCTACTTACTTTAGTTTGCTGATAAAGAAATGTCTTATTTGCGCTGCCCCCTCCCTTCGCAATAAAAAGAAACTCGTAA